TCTTGCAAGGGCTGTGGTCCATGCGGTGAGTGCCCCCAGTGATGTTTGTATGGGGCCAAGCCAGGGTATAGGTGCCTATTGCTGCTCCGACCTTGATACCTGCCTCTGCCACTATCTCCCCACCCCCGTCCAGGTCGTGGAACAGCTGCTGGTCAGCAGGCAGCCCCTGCTTATCTTCCTGGAAGAGCCCCCTGGAACCAAGGGCCCTTGGCTGTCAGCCCTGGGCCAGGCCTGGCTGGGATTGGTGGTCCAGGCGGTCCAGGTGGGCACTGTCCCAGATGCTATGCTGGTGCCAGTGGCCGTCACCTATGACCTGGTTCCAGATGCACGTGATGCATACCATGTGAGACCCTGCTGCCCCTTGGGACCCCAAGTGGACACCATCTCCAGAGAAGCGACACAATATATCGTGTCCTGTGGCTGAGGGCCCCTCAGGGCTAGGGTCAGGGTGGTGCAAAGGAATTCTACCCCTATTGTCATCCTGTGGTGCCTGCCCACGCTGATGCTGTCATCTTCCGTTTCATCCTTAAAAGACCCCACTAGGGAGGGATTTCTCCTGTTTCACGGACGAGAAAATGAGGTTGGAGAGGTCATGGTCATGTACCAGTTTGCAAGATAAAGTTGAGCAGAGGGCAGTGCTCCAGGCGAGCCAGCTCCCTCAGCCCCTTCCTCCCTGCAGGCCACAGCCCCAGTGGGGCTGGGGACAGTGGCTCTGGCTGTCCTGCGGAGCCTGCGAGGCTGGTGCTGCAGCCCCCGAACCTGCGTCCGTGTGCACCTGTCCCAGCCCTTCTCCCTGCAGGTATGGAGTCTGTTGGGGAAAGCTGGCAGGACCTGAGGTCTGTTCTGGGGCTTCTGGCAGCCTGGCCCTCACAGCCACTGCAGGGATAGCGCACCTACCTCTGAGCTGTGGGCACGTTTCCTGGTGGGCAAGCTGGCTACCTGAGAGTTTTGTCCTGGGCAGGAATACACTCTCAATGCCAGAAGCTGTTGGGGCAGCAGGCAGACCCTGGAGCGGCTGCTGCAGCCCATTGTGCTGGGCCAAAGGTAGGGGAGGACGTGGGCCTCCAGGGCACAGCGAGCAGTCGTCTTTCATTCAGCGCATACCCACAGACATCACAAGCTCCAGCCTCCCCTCTACTCTGGGTCAGCTAGAACAGTGCCTGGGACCCCCTCCTTGCCTCTGAGTGTGGGAAATGGCAGAGACTGAAAGGAGCTGGGGTTACAGGGCCAACCCTGCGCTGGGGCTAGGCTGGCCCGGGGAAACAGCCTTTTCTGAGAAAGCTCTAAGCTGCCCCAAGACTGCGTTTAGGTTGGCTCCTCCCATCCTGCGATCTGTCTCTATCCCAGCACTGTCATCCCAGACACTGAGAAGGAGCAGGAGTGGACCCCAGTAACTGGGCCCCTTCTGGCCCTCAAGGAAGAGGACCAGCTCCTGGTCAGGAGGCTCAGCTGTCACATCCGGAATGGTGAGGGAAACTAGGTCTGGGCATTTGGGGACAGTCCTGAGCTGTTTCTTCTCTCTGGGTCAGCGGGTTGTCAGAGCCCTCCGTTCCCAGCGGGTCTCTGCACCTGACCCTCCCTCCTGTGTGACCATTTGCGATGTGTGGCAACCAGGGAGAACTATAGGGGGCTTCTAATGTGCACACAAATGGCTGCCTGAGCCACACAGGATGGGGTGTACAAAGGACAGATGCCTGGACCTAGGCCACCTACCCAAGTGCCCCCGCCCTTGCCTTGGCTCCCCACTTCACCTCTCTGAGCCCAGTCTCCTGAGCTGTAAATGGGGTGCCACTGACTGAATGGAATAAGGCATGTGAGGGACTTAACACCGTACCTATCACAGAGGGGACTCGTAACAGAATGAACATTGCAACTGTCTTCTCAGGCCCCCTTCTGTGGCAGAGACTGTGGGTTGGTGGGTAGGCCTATGAGGCAGGGAAGGTCCCTGAACTCCCTGCCTGTCTCCACACTCACCTGATAAATGCCCGTTCTCCACTGGGAGGGGCAGCCCCCAAGGACCAGGCAGGCCTGCTCTCCCCTTCCCTGGGGTGGAGTTGCTGGGGGAAGTGGGAGGGTTGCTGCCAGGGAGGCAGAGGAGGACTGTCCTTGGCCCAAACTCTGGGTGATGGAACCAGCTGCTGGGCCCAGGCTCCTGACCAGCATGCCCCTACCCCGGCTGTAGCCAGCGTGGCAAGCTCTGCGGTCATGAGCACAGCCATTATGGCGACGCTCCTGCTGTTTAAGCACCGGAAGGTAGGCACAGTGTGGCAGGGGAAGGAGGGGTTGGGGGAGTGGTATGGCCCTGCTGCTCAGCCCTGGCACTACCCACCCAGGGTGTGTTCCTGTCCAAGCTCCTGGGAGAGTTTGCCTGGCTGACAGAGGAAATACTGCTGCGTGGCTTTGACGTGGGCTTCTCAGGTCAGCTGCGCTGCCTGGTACAGCACACACTGAAACTGCTGCGGGCACATGTGACTCTGCTGCGCATTCGCCAGGGGGACCTGCTGGTGGTGCCTCAGTCCAGCCCGGGCCTCGTGCACTTGGCACGCCTGAGCTCTGAGCTGCTGCCTGCCTTCTTGAGTGAGGCCATGGGCGGTGAGTCCTGAGGGCTCAGCGGCGGGTAGGGTGTCGGGTTAGGGAATGGCTTTCTTCCTCACACCTGGCCCCCTCCCCAGCCTGTGCAGTTCGGGCGCTGCTGGCAGGCAGAGTGCCGCCAGAGGGGCCCTGGGAGCTGCAGGGCATCGAGCTGCTGAGCCAGAAGGAGCTGTACCACCAGGTCCTGCTGCTGCTGCATTTGCTGCCACAGGACCTGCTCCTGCTGCAGGTCAGGCCTCCCATCAGCCCCTTCCGACCTGGGCGCCCCTGGGTTGTAGGAGGGGCTGTGCCTGCCCTGCCCCTAAGAGCCCTGCCCAGGGCCTGGCTCTTCTGAGGCCACAGAGATGCCTTTCTCCCCAGCCCTGCCAGTCTTCCTACTGCTACTGTCAGGAGGTGCTGGACCGTCTCATCCAGTGTGGGCTCCTGGTTGCTGAGGAGGTAGGCAGAGCCACTGGAGACAAAGCCCCTGCCTGGTTCTGGCCTCCCTCAGCCTCACACCAAGTGACAGCTGCCCCATGTGTGCTGTGGGGGTGAGCAGCCCCTGGCCAAGCAAACAGGGGAGCCTGGGTCCTGCCTCTGCAACTCTGTGCCTTAGGACTTATGTGTCTACCAGCCCAGGGCCCATGTGTGTCTATCATGGCAGGACTGTACAATTATACCTCTGAGGTTCTCTGCACACCTCCTGCCCCATTTCTTGTCCATAGGGCCGTGGCCCTTGAGGGTGGGTGCCTACTTCTTCTCACCCTACAGGTGGGCTCCCTAGGTCTGCTTTTACTGGTTGTATCTCTATACGCCTGGCCTGCCATGTACCTGATCTGGGGGGACTCAGGACTGAACCTTGGCCGGCCTGGCAGGGACCAATGGCTCCTCTGGCCCCCAGACCCCAGGCTCCCAGAAGGCCTGCGACACAGGGAGACAGCATTTGAGCACCAAGCTGATGTGGAAACCGAGTGGGGACTTTACTGATAGTGACAGTGATGACTTCGAGGAGGCTGAGGGCCGGTACTTCAGGGTGCGTTGGGAGAAGCCACCAGGGAAGGAAGCAGTAGGGAGACTGGGAGCTGCCCTGACCTGGCCTGTCCCCATCCAGCTCAGTCAGCAGTCTCGCTGCCCCGACTTTTTCCTCTTCCTGTGCCGCCTGCTCAGCCCGCTGCTCAAGGCCTTCGCACAGGCTGCTGCCTTCCTCCAGCAGGGCCAGCTGCCTGACGCTGGTGAGGCCCGCATTCCCCTGGCTGTCCTCAGAGGCGGGCTGGGAGCTCAGGGCAGGGCTCTGCCTGTGCTCGGCCTAAGTCTCCTCTGCTCCACAGAGTCAGGCTACGTGGAGCAGCTGTTGCAGTTCTTGCAGGCCACTGCCCAGGAGGATGGCTTCTTCGGTGAGTCCCAAGCAGCCGGGCGGCACCCAGGAGGCAGGGGCTTGCTGGTGGTTGCTGCCCTCTGCTGGGCAGTGCCAGCCCCACTCCAGGACAGGGCTGCAGAGTAGAGAGGGCCACTGGGTGTAGTCTGAGCCCTGCCTTGGGTGGTTCCTTCTTTTAGAGAGATGGAGAGAGGCCTGTGCCAGCGGCTGTCTGCACCCACTAGAGCTTCATTCTCTCTCTCTCATTCAGAGTGTGCGGACCCAAGTCTTGCCACCAGGGCTGTCTGGACCTTCAGGGACTTGGGGGTGAGAGGCCAGTCTCACCCTCCTCCTGTCCCCCCCGCTTCCTCCCTGATAGAGCTGCTCAGAGAAGCCCACCTGTGCCCGCCCCGGGTTTTCTCCAGTGTCTCCCAAGAACAGATGTGGTAACAGGAGTTGGAGAAGATGGGATGGTTTCCCTGCCCCTCTTGGTCTCCCAAACCACTGCCTCATTCTACTCCCAGGTGGGGTACTGGGGATGGTTTGAGGCAGCCCTGTCCAAACCCTGAGGCCTAAGGGGCCAGAGGTCTCACTGCAGGTATGCCCCATGGGGAGTGCTCGCAGCCCTTCTCCATGGCACAGGTGCTGCAACAGACACCCGGCCCAGCAGGCCCCATGCTCCACCTGTCCCCTGCCTTCGCCAGCCGAGACAATCAGGAAAAGCTGGAACAGTTCATCCGGCAATTCATTTGTGGCTAGAACTCTGTGAGGAGGAGCCTGTGCCGAGACTTCTCAGTCCCAGGATATAGCTGAGCCCTGAAGCCAGAAGCCAGAGGCTGCTGCAAACCCTTAGTTGGCCTATAAAATTGTTGAGGTTTGATTGTCTTTTACCGTCTCTTGCTTTCTCCATCCTTTGGTGTGATAAATGAGGGGACTAACCTGGACAAGTCCTCTCTCCCAGCTCAGCAGCGTATTTGGTGTAGGTACACAGTGTCTGCTCTCCTTCCCCAACCTGTGACAATGCCCTATCTTGCTCCCTGAAACAAACTTAAGACAGGCAGAAGCCAAGCTGCTGCTTTAGCCTGAGAAGTTTATTGAAGAAGAGAGTCCCACTTATTCCTCCTCTACCTAGATGACGAGCCTTGAGGGGGCTGGGACTGGGCCTCACCCTGCACAGGGCTGAGCGGGAACCGGTGCCCCTCCTCTTGTCTTAAGTCCAGGGCCTGCGGCAGGAGCCATCACACCACCTTGTTGATAATGACACCCAATTCTTCAATCTCACAGTGCACTTCATCGCCCTTCTGCAATGGAGTGGCCACAGGTGGTCAGTCCTCAGCCTGACACACACATCTGTACATACACAGGCCTGGATTTCTCAGGTCTGAGCCAAGCCTGCCAGGCCTCTGGGTCCCTCTCCCTTTCCTCATTTTTGCCAACCTACCTTGAGAAAGACTGGAGGTTTCCTGAATACACCAACACCTGGGGGGGTCCCCGTCAGGATGATGTCCCCGGGGTAAAGAGTGACAAACCTGGGGCAAAAGGGCCAGGTGAGACCAGGGGCCGAGGTGCCACAGCCAGGGATGGAGGGCTCAGCTGAGCTGCAGGTGGCCGTGTAGGTCAGAGCTTCACTCCACTTACTGAGAGACCCAGGCTATCAGCTCCTCTGTCTTAAACACCATCTGACTGGTGTTGCTGCTCTGGACCACTTCCCCATTCACCCGGCAGCAGATCTTTAAGTTGTGTGGATCTGAAATGCAGAAATACCACTTCGGCACTCCCCTCCAGGGAGAGGAAACATGGCAGTTTTTTGCCTTAAAAAAGGACGTCTATCCACAGCAAAGGCCGACAATTGCAGATATAAAGAGTCGGCGTGTGTAATGCAGCAGGGGAAGAGCATAAGCAGGGCAGCGAACCTCCTGCGCCTGACTCTGGCAGGGGGCGGCTCACCAGTAACCACGCTTTCATCTTAACTTTTGTTTTACACACTCACAAACACACCCTCTTAGAGCAGCTGAAACACAATCTAACTTTGCTGTTGACTGACTGAACACGGTGGTGCAAGAATAACCCCCCCAACACACCCCCGACCTAAATGGCCCTGCCCTGCCTGTGCACCACCCTCTTCCCTCCTGGCTCCTGGTGCCCTTGCTGGCAGCCTGTGCTGCCCTAGTCACAGTGGCTGGCAAGATCCTGTTGGTCCTCGCCATCTCCCTGACTGAAGAAGATGCATGGGCTTTGTGACAGTCTCGGTGATGCCCAAGGGCCAGCTTTGCTTCCTTCCGACCTAAAGACTCTCCCAGATGGTGGCAGCTAGAGGAAGCCTGGCCACCCATTGGGGGAGTACTGTTCTTGTAATTCACTCGATGAATACAGAGCCACCACCTCTGCAGCTGTGGTTTCTAGCTGGTGAGGGGATGTGCTCGTGGCCCGGTTGAGACTTGCTCTCTAAGGAATCAGTGAAAGGCAGCTGGGGAGGGAGCTCCACATTGAGCCATCCCCACACTCCCACTCCCTGAGTGCTGCTATTTCTTTGACATCCTGGAGCAGAGCACGAAGAGTCATTGTGGGCGCTGTCAGAGACCTACCTGCTACACTGTCCTTAGTCACCAAGGCAGGGCCCAGGGGGCAGAAGGTGTCAAAGGTTTTTCCCAGCAGCCACTGCTTTCCATTGCGTTTCATTTGCCAGTCACGAGCACTTACGTCATGTGCCACAGTGAAGCCAGCCACATAAGCCATGGCATCTGTGGCCTGGGGGGGGGAGGGGGCGGGATTTGGCCAGATTGGAGGTTAGATCATAGTGACACCAATCCCTGTAACAAAGCCTTTATCCCACACTAGTAGCCAGAGCTCACCAAGGGTGCTAGGCGAGTGACAGGGCAGGTGCTACGGCTGACCACTTCCCAAGGCCAGGGACAGTGGGTACCACCCCTTCAACCTCACCTTGATGTGCTTGCCTTTCTTTCCAATGACCACGGCTAGCTCCACTTCCCAGTCCACCTCCTATAAGGCAGGAAAGGAGCAGTGAATCGCCTGGCCCTGGGGCCTGCTCAGTGCTGAGGGGATGCACACCACGTCTTCGGGCCTGGGCCGCTAACAGCGGGGTCAGCTGCTGGCCCAGAGTCATAATCAAAACGGCCCAGAGTGGAGGGGGAGGTGTGACTTGTAGACCCATAAACCCCGGGCAATGGCAGGCAGCACCACGGGATGCAGGCACGGTTCCCATGGTGACTAGAGGATCAACACTGGTCTGGGGACTGAACTTTAAAGTCACTCTTGATACTTCCAAAAAATGATGGATACCAAATGATAGTAGCTAACCCTACTGTGTGCCAGGCACCATTCTAGTGCTTTAATGCATTAACTCACTTAAGTGATAAAAAGACCAACATGCCAAAATAAATTTGGGCAAAAGGCATGATAAGCAATTCACAAAAAATATACAGGGCTGCAGAAAATGAAAATATACTCAGCCTTTCCCATATCAGCCAAGTGCTACAAAATAGACACAACCTAACCCTTCAAACTGGCTGCTCTTTTGAAGGATCCAGGGCTGCTATGAACACACCTGACGCCAACCATGGTCTCTAGTATTGCTCCCCACTAGAAAGAATCAGGTTCACTCAGGTAGACAACTAATTCCAGATCCAACACAGTGCAAGATAAGCCTGTGCTACCTTGGACAGAAAGCAAGAAAGTGCTCAAAAAGTGATGGGGTCATCTTGAAGCCCCTACTGGCCAACAGATCATTTGCATATCAGAAAGACTACAAATGATGGATTACAACATGTTGGATAAAAATAAAAATCAAGTCCTGGCTGGTGTGGCTCAGTGGACTGAGTGCCGGCCTGCAAACCAAAAGGTTGCTGGTTCAGTTGCCAGTCAGGGCACATGCCTGGATTGCGGGCCAGGTCCCTGGTAGGGGGAGCATGAGAGGCAACCGCACGTTGAAGTTTCTCTCTCTCTTTATCTCCCTCCTTTCCTTTCTCTCTAAAAATAAATAAAAAAAATTTTTTTAAAAATCAAGAATTCACAGCGATAATAAAGGAATGGAGAAAAGAAAAACCAAAAAGGCAGCCTTTGTTCACAAAATGTCAGCTAATAAAGAGTAGGAGGCATGATAGAAAAATCACATTTTCCTAACCCCCAGTGCAATAATGGGGTCAGGTAAGGATGACCAGGGAATCCCTGGGTGAAGACTGTGGGGCAGTAAGACAGTACCATGGTCTCGAACAACCGCAGATTGGTTACTACCAGAGAACTGCCCTTTCACAATGGAGAGGTCTAGAGAATGGCAAGTAAACCAAATGATCGGACTTTGGGCACCTGACAGGAGCCTCCCAATAGGATGCAGTGTGAAGATAAAATATCTATGTTATATAGACTGAATGTCTGTGTCCCTCCAAATTCCTATGTTGAAACCTACCCCCTCAATGGGATAGTATTAGGAGGTGAGACCTTTAGGAGGTGATTGTCATGAGGGCAGAAACCCCATGAATAGGGTGATAAGAGACCCCAGGGAGCTCCATGGACCCTTCCACCACATGAGAACAGGGAAAGACCTCATTTAGGAACCCAGAAGTGGCCTTCCCAGGCACCAAATTTATCACCACCTTGATCTCGCACTTTCAGCCTCCAGAACTGTGGAAAATAAATGTCTGTTGTTTATAAGTCACCCAGTCTACTTTGTTATAGCAGCCCAAAGGGACTGAGACACCTGTGTAGAAAACTTGATAAAATGTTTAACCTGAATCTAATCATAAGGACACAATCAGACAAATCCAGACCATGGGACATGCTATGAGACAACTTGCCTGGACTCTCCAAATAGTGCCATGATGGACAGAAAAGGGCAGCCGGCCACTGGTCAGAGACCAGAAGTCGGCAAAGTATAGCCTGTGGGTGAATCCAGCTTGCTGCCTGTTTCTATAGATAAAGCTTTCCTGGAACACAGCCAAGTTCATTCATTTATATGTCAGCCATGGCTGCTTTCACACTACGGTGGCAAAGTTGAACTGTTGCAACACACATCATCTGGCATTGCAAGTTTAATGTTTACTAGCTGCCCCTTTTTGAGAAAAAGTCCATGGATGCCTATGGACCTGTAGATTACAGGCCCTAAAGAGACATAACCAAATACAATGTGTGTCCTTGTTTGATCCTGTGTCAACAAAGAAGCAGCAGAACCCAGATTGAAAGTCATCTACCAGTTGGACTATATATTAGAGATTATTCATGTTAATTGGCTTGGTTGTGAATAATGGCACTACGGTCACGTAGGACATTGTCCTTATTCTTAGAAGGTGCATGCTAAATTTTATAATTGTCTACAGTGAAGGTATATTACTTTTGTAATCCAAATGGGCATAATTGGAAAGGTCCCTCTTCTGTTAATATTTTTTTCCTGGGGCCAGTCTTATTACTGTATAACTTCCCATGGTTTCTGTTTAATGCACTTCTAAGCAACAAGTGGCTCCTGTAAGCTCGATGCTGCGCACCCTTGTGATGGCCCCAGTGACGCAAGAGGGCAGTGGGAAGGCACCGACCTGGCTCTCAGGTGGGAGGATGATCTCATCATAGGGCCCCACAATGGAGCTGGCAAACTTGCTGAAGATGATGGGCTCCTTTGGCACAGGCACGTTCTGTTCCTTGCAGTGGTCCACGTAATTCATGCCCACACACACCACCTTGTCTGGCCGTGTGACTGGAGCCAGGAAGGTTACCTCTGACCGCGGAAGGACTGGCAGCTGGGCAGCCAAGGCTCTGCAGAGACCAGAGCAGGAGAGGGGGGCTGGCTGGGAGCAGGCCAGCAGTTCTGGGGCACACTGGGGAGATCCTACAGCGGCCGCAAATTTTGCTGTTTAAAATACATTTGTTAATCAGAATTAGTGTGAAAATCAAAGCCAGCTATTGTCATTTGACATCAGAGCACTGTTTAATATTTATCCCCAGTATGGATCTCCTTTCCCCCACTGGGTAACACACATCCATGTAAGGGAATTCGGAAGGTGCAGGTGGAAGTAATTGGGAAGGTCCTTCTTCTACCCTTTCTCCCAGTCACCCTGCTCCGGCCTTGGAGACACACTGTGTCTTGTGCAGCTCTTTACAGCTACTCTATTCTTTTCCTCTCCTTACTTCATATGCATGATAGCACACTACATACACCTTATTGAAAATGTACTGTGTGTGTGTGTGTGTGTGTGTGTATTTCAAAGATCTCACCTTAACAATATGTGATGGCTGCATATTACTGCACTGTAGAGATATGAAAGCAGGCTCCAATCTTGGGAGAATATGAAGTTTAGGAAACATACTCTTACCCACACTGTGTGCTGTCCAACATTTGTGATTTTGCCAGTTGAAAAGGTACAGACAATATCTCAAAGTGGTCTTTACTGTTCATCAGTGCCTGTAGAACAGATGCCATAGGGCTCCTGGCTTCAAAGAAGTCCCTATCTAATCTAGCCCAAACCCAAGAATCATCTTTAAGAAAACCTCTTTGCAGTCCTCTCCCCCCTAAGAAGCCAAGCGTTCAATCAGTACCCTAGCTTCCCAAGATGCCACCTGGGGACTGCAGGTACCAGACCCCTCCAGCAAGCAGCAGCTTCACCCCTTGGAAAGGCAGTATGATGAAATGGAGTTTTGTGGCTTTGGAATATCACTCTCTCTGGGCCTCAGTTTCCCCCTCTATAAACCGAGGCTGCTGTCATATAAGATTTCTAAGGCTCTTCACTAAGAGAAAAGGTGAGAAAGGAAAGCTGAGGCTCCCCTGCGCCCTTGCAAAAGAGCTACCTACTGGATGTGTCTCCTGGGGCAAGGAGGGGGTGGGAGGAAGTGGGGGGGAAACAGAGCACCACAGGTTGATGCTCCCTGCTGATTTACCTTCTCGCCACTGAGAGGGTAGACTCTCCCTGCTCCAGGAACTCCACCATCGTCTTGGGCAGTGTGGGGTCAAAAGCGTTGAGGTTGATGACCCCCCCATTATTCCCTGACTCCAGGCCCAGGTGAGATCCCATCAGGTGGGGTGCCTGGAACTGCACCAGTCTCATGTCTCTGGAGGGTTGGAAGGGCCACCGCTGAGCCTGCAGCAGAGCTGTGAGCAACCTTTTTCTAACAGGGAACAGCATCAGAGTCTATGGAGAAAAAAAGCGGGTCACAGAGTACAGAGGAAGCTGGCAACCATCATCAGGATCCCCAAGCTCCTTGAGCTGCAGCCCCAGTCCCTTCGAGTTCCAGCCCAAGTTCCTAGCACACCACGTGGAAGTGGCCTGGATTTATAAGTTATTTTGCCCTCTTGCATTTCATAAGGTGGTTTTTTGCTCAGTTCAATGCACATAATGAAACCTTTCTAGAGAAGCAACTATTTCATGTCAGGCCCTACGCTAGGTGCTAGTGGCAATGGTGCCACTGCCTGGCACCATTGTGGCACTCGGGTAAACAGTGTAGCTCAGACATACTCAGCCCAGCCATCCTGCTCACAAGGAAGACTGATGTTAACAACTGATGCCGTAAGATTCAGCAATGGGACTTCTGCTGGGACAATCAAGGGTCCTCAAGTGTGATCAAGGCAGTGTGATGAAATGGAGTTTTGTGGCCTTGGGATAATCACCCTCCCTGAGCCTCAGTTTCCCCCTCTATAAACGGAGGCTGCTGTCATATAAGATTTCTAAGGCTCTTCACTATGAGAATAGGTGAGAAAGGAGAGCTGAGGCTCCCCTGCTCCCTGGCAGAAGAGCTACCTGCTGGTTTGATTTCCCAGGATGAAGACTTGCCTAGTTTCTTAAGGTAGTGCTGCTAAGTTGGACTGGGCTAAGATAAGCAGGACTAGGAATTAGATAAGGTGGGGCACATCATAGGCAAATAACCACTGGGAAACTGGCTTCACACCTGCCACAAACACGTCTTTAAATGCCAATTTGATCCTGTTACCCTCCTACTTAAAATGCTTTCCAGTGCTCACATAATCAAACTGTAATCCTACTGTTCCACCTTCTAGGAGAAGCCCCCACCTACTGCTCTGGAGAGTAAATATTTAGTTTTTCGAGGAGCACAGGCTGCCTGGGGGAGGCTGCAGACAAAGGGCAGGGCCTCGGTCTGACAGGCATCAACGGGCTGTCTCCTCTCTGGGTTCTGGGGCCTCGTCTGTCTCTTTCACTGCGGAGTTCACTGTGCCTGGCTCTTAGTAGAGGCTCTTAGCCACTACTCCCTGTGGAAGCAGGGGCTTGGGAAAGCTTGGTGACTGCCAAGCTCAGGAAGTGTGGCTGTGCCCTCCCTCTTCAAATCACCTAGAAAGTAACAGCAGGGCTCAGACCTTGTTTCAAGTTCCAAGCTCCACTCAAGGACAAATCCGTTTCTCTTGTTTTGCAGTCCCTCCTGTACCTGGTTCCTTGCTTTAAAAAACAAACCTTTCAGCTCAGGCATGTGGAGGTAGTCCCAGACCACTGGTCCTCACACCAATGATTCAATGTGCCTTGTTCAACTAGAGATGCATTAGACCCAGGTAACCAATCTAACCACTGTGCTGGCTGATGAATTTGACCAGAAAATGAGGACTTGAAGCCTCTTGCCCTCCTGTCTTACACAGGTCCAACCATGCCACTGATAAAGTCTGTTGTAGCCAAAGTGCATACGCTCAGACACTGCCCACTAAAATAAACGATCCGGCACAAGTAACGCCCCTTTTCCATTACAAAATCTTTTACTACAAAATCATAAGCATGTAATTCTGTAACATAACAATATCCCAAGCACAGCACATGACATTTTAGATGAGATGTTCAAGGTGCTGTCCATCTTGTGCGAGACAGTCTCGGACCCTACCATCCACACTCAAGCACGCGTTACTTCTGCCGGACCCTGTATATACAACAGCAACTGCTCCCACTGAATGCCAGGTCTCATTGAAGTGCTATATCGACAACATCTGATTTATTTTGATAACAGTGGAAGGTAGGCATTGTTAGTCTCATTTTACAGATGAAAAAACCAAAGTTTAGAGAAGTTAAGGGATTCTCCCATGTTTCCAAGGATGGGAAAAAGCTGGGGTTTGAATTCAAGCCCAGGTGGTGTGCAAGTAAGACAATCCAGCTTTAGCGTCTCCCCTCCTCTCCCTCCCCCCGCCCCCGCCCCTCACTCCCTAGGGCACTTCAGCCCAGAAGACTGTGGTGAGAGGCAGGGATCTCCAAGAGGAGATCCTCGAGAGGCCCAGACACCCTGCCTGCTCTCAGCCACACTCAGGGAAACTTGGTTAACTGCTGGCTGCTGCCTCAGGGACAAGACTGGTCACCTGCTCTCCAAGACAGCCGGAGGCCACACTGACTGTGCCCTTCCCATGTGAATGGCATATGCAGCTTCTCACTAGGCCCTACCACAATCCCCTCGGGCAGTGCGCCCCATTTTACAGGAAGCGGCACTGAGACCTGAAAAGGAGCCGTCACCTGCCAAAGCACCAGTTCAGAAAGTGGCGCCAGCGCTTCCGCGGTTACCACTCTGCAGCAGAGCCCGAGCTCGATCCCACTCTGCCAAAGGGCCCTTAGGCAAAGACGCAGTGACGTGAGGCGGAAACAGCACACAAGCGTCGCAGATTGGCGACGTGTGTCTATCTGGGACTGCGCGTCCCACCGTCCGTCCACACGCAAGGGACCCTGGTCCAGCCCTTCGGTTTCCCTACATGCTTAGCTTGGTCCCCTGCATTCAGTGGGCGCTCACGAAGGCCCGTCCGTGTGGGCCGAGCGGCCGGGGTCCGAGGTCCAGTCCTGCCCTTGGCGAGGCGCGTCTCGCGGGGGTTGTCCCCAGGCCGGCCGGAACCCGACCTACCTGGGCCGCGGCAGCCGGTCTGTAGAGCGCCCCACGCTACCGGCTATCTGACCACGCTCGCGGGGCCAGGGTCTGGGGTTGGCTGGCGCCGAGACTGGTGTCCAGTCGCGATTCCGCGACCTGTCCCGGGAACCCCCGCTGCGGCGAAGGGGGCGGCTTCTCCAATAAGATGTTGGCAGAGGCGGCGCTCCTTGGTGACACCCAGTACGACGGCCAATAACAGGGCGCTTCGTCCTGTCCCGGAAGTCACGTAGCGGCGGGGGGAGGGAGCCCAGCGCTGGAAGGCAAGCGGTCTCTCCCGGTGACGTTCCCGTCTCAGGGCTGGACACCCTTCTGCTTGTCCACACTTCACCCACAGCTGCCAGACAAGGAGCACTTTTTGTCGCTTTGCGCCCTGGGGGCCGCGCTCCACTTCCCCGTGTCGGATCCCTGCCTCTGAGCAGGACACCGTTTTTGTTTTTGTTTTTTAATATGAAACGCCTCACGACTTTGCGTGTCATCTTTCTGCAGGGGCCATGCTAATCTTCTCTGTAGGGATCCAGTTTTAGTATATATGCTGCCAAGCAAGCACACAGGCACCGTTTTGATGTTGGGCAAACGCAGTAGAAGAAACCAAATTGTATAGCGCGCTGGTTAACAAAGACAAATCTCTGGCATATTACAGAGGAAAGGGGGGATGATTGCACCCACTTTACACGTGGGGCGCCTGGGGCTGGAAGTGCTTTGAGCAAGATGACGCAGGCAGTGAGGAGGGGAACCACCGTTTTTGACCCCAGGTACAGCATTTTACACCCATCTGCACCAGCCCTATCTTCACGTGCACCGTGTTGGGGGCTCAGGGCAGGATAGTGGGAGGCATAACCTCCAGCGAAAGAGGCCAGGCATTTTCCTGGAGAGGTGGTTTAATTAATCAGGTAGTTACAACCCAAGCTTTCCAGGCCTCTGGCAGATGACGACCTATAAGGGGGCTGTGGGCAAGAGGCCCAAGATTTAAATCAAGGACTAGATGATCAAAGGCTCTACTTGTCCCAGAAAGGAGTCTGAGCCTTACCTAGCACACAGGAGCCACGGGAAGGTCCTCACAGGGAATGCCATGGTTAGACTTGCATTTGAGTAGTTTCACTCTGGTCATGCTTCTAAGAAAAGGTGTCGGTGAGAGTGGGGCAGGCGAGAGCAAAGGTGGCTTGGTGTGCATTGGAGATGGAGGTAGAAATGACAGTCCCAGATGAGGACATGAGGTGGGAGAGGGGGAAGGAGGGGCAAGGCTGCCTCCTGGCTTCTAGCCTGGTAGATGGTAGTACCATTCATGGAAACAGGTTCTTGAGGGACAGCAGTTCTGGGGAGAGGGTGGTGACCTCAGTTTTGGATGGGGTGTGTTTAATGAGCACGTGGGACATTCAAGGAGCCACTGCAGAGTGGGCAGTTGGAGTGTGGGGCTCTAGTCTGTCTTCAAGATAGAGGTCAGTACAGAGGTAGAAATGAAGCCTGTGGAGGGTGAGTGTTAACAGGGGAAATGTACTAGAGAACCTGGCATAAACCCCAGTCGGGAGACCCACCCCGTAAAGGTGGACAGCACCAGAGGAGCCGTCAGAAAAACAGGGAGACGGGGGAACACGTAACCTGGGCAGAGATCAGAGGGCCATGCCTTCCAAAAGCCAAGGAGAGGACTTCTGTTTCTAAACAAGATGGAGTAAAGGACAGGATTTATCCTTGTAGGAAGCAACCAAAAACACTCAAAATACCAAAAGCTATGGTTTTCAAGAAATTGGACCTTACGTAATGAAGAACAGTGATGACAGATGGACAGGAAACAAATGAGGCCCCTGTTTAATGCTTTGAGAGTTTCCAGGCTGTGGCAAAAGAAAGGGGGATGGAGGTGGAGCCAGCATCTCCCATGAGTTGCAGACGGGGATCTGAGGGCCCAGTAAGACATAGGTAGCTAGAGTTTGCAGGACAGTACTGGAGAGAAGACACTTGGGAAGAAAGAGAACCTGGCGTTCTGTGGAGGTTCATCCTCAAGTGTTCAGCAGAGTCCTGAGCAGTGCATGCCTGTGAAGCAGCTACCTGAGACTAGGGAGCGCGTCTTCAAGAAGAATCAGAGGGAACAGTGCCAAGAGATTGCACAAGGCCTGGAACAGTGCCTCTTCCCACTAATCAGATTGGAACAACGGAAATCATGGGACACTGGGGAGGGTGCTTATGAAGGTCTTGCCTCCATAGGGAATAATAAGTTCTAGACCTGACTGACAGATTATAAAATCAAGACCCCAAAGGATCAAACTGTTTCCAGGTACCTTAACTGCATCACAGGCCAAGCTCAATGGTGTTTATAGAAATTACAAAATATCCAGTAGCCAACAAGGTGAAGTTCACAGAATCTGATATCTAATCAAAGATAACCCAGATTTGGAAAGAAGCAGGAAAATATGATCCATGGTGAGAAGAATCAAGCATTTTAATGCAACTCAGAACTGACAGATGTTAGAATTAACAGACAAGAACATAACAGTTACTATAACTATATTCCGTCTGTTCAAAGTTAGAGACATGAAAGATACGTTTTAAAAGGACCCAAATCAAACTTCCATTGATGTAAACTGCAATGTCTGAGATGAAAAATGCACTAGGTGGATTAATGGCAGATTCAACATTGCAGAAGAAAACGTTAGTGACTTTGAAAACATAACACTAACCTGTTGGAGCCGAAATGACGAACACAAAGGGAAAGAGAGGCACCCATTCTATGCTCACTAGGTCTTTGAGAGACACGGAGTTTGTTCTTTGGCCACGAATATGTGTGCCTACAAGAAAGGTGGTACTGTAGATATCAGGGAATGGGGACTGTTCAAAAAGGAGTGTCCACAGGTGTTCCCATGGCAAAACTGGAAGAGTCTGCAGTGTCACCCAGCCTGCTGTTGGCATTGTTGCAAACAAATAAGTTAAGGGCAAGATTCTTGCCAAGGCAATTAATGTACATATTGAGCATATAAGCCCTCTAAGAGCTGAAATAACTTCCTGAAACTTGTGGAGGAAATCACCAGGAAAAGAAGGAGGCCAAAGAGAACAGTGTTAGGTTTCACTGAAGCACTAGCCTATCCACCAAGAAAAACAAAATGGACAAATGGTTCTTCACTCGTGAGAACTGATGCCAAGGGGCCTTGAGGATGTCACAGTCTTAGTTGGCTGGCACTTGGCAGTCCAGGGCTGACTGACAACCTGCTCTGAGAGGCCTTGCTTTTAGTTTCTGATGTTTTACTGTATTTGGTTTTTCAAACGAGTGGACAAGCAGCCCCTGGCTTCATTAGCTAAGCTCCAGGGAACAGGATACAGCCAGGATTGCTCAGCAAAGGAAAGTGGGTGGAAGAGGACTATGCTGGGGTGAGGCGGGGGTGGGTGTTGAGAAGGGTGTGCTCTACAGTGCAGGCCACATGTTTCCAACAGACTTTGCCTCTGGTGCCTCCCGAGCTGGCCTGGGGCCCAGCGGGCTCACTCCGGGCTGTCTGCTCCACAGCAGTGGCTCCTTCCCTACAACCTTCGGTTCAGCAGCATCACTGACCACTCCCTCCCTGACGTGCCAGCTGTAGGGCCGTCCTGGGGCTGCAGGGGTGAACACCGTCGCTCCTGCTGCTGGCAAGAGGCCCACAGTGTGGCGGGGGAGACAGCGCTGGGCATCTTGGCCATGGCTCCCGCTTCCCTCGAGTGTCACTTCTGGGAAGCATGTTCCACCTCATAGCTGATCTTGACATTAAGGGCTGTAGCAGCTGAGCGTTTTTCAGCTGAAAGTTCCAGACAGCCCGTTCCAACTAGCTTCACATAGACTGTTAGGGGTGGGAAATCCTATGAGCGGCTCATATAAGTGAAGAATCTATTGACTGGGAGGGGCCCTGTTTAAAAGGTACAGTTTAATTTTGAGCTCAAGGGCTAGACTCTCTGCACCGCCCCCCTCCCCCGCCCCCCAGCTACCCCCGCTTTCTCAGTCTCCCTCCCTCAGCCAGCCCTTCTGCTCTGGTTTCACTCCCATAGCTCCCCCAGTGACAAAATGGCAGCCTGAGCCCCGGGACTCGCGTCCCTGCAGCTTCAGATGTGAGGGAGCAGAGCCTTTGCCAGCATTCTGGGCTTGGGACTCCCTGGGCCTCCTTGGCTCCAGGTGCCCACCCTCAGCCATCCACTCTGACCAGGAAAGCCATGTGCTGACAGGCTTAGGGCTGGCCTTGGAGACAGGGTCCCAGACTTCCTGGATAGAGAGGGGGGATGATCCCAAGAGACTGAGAGGTACAGCCAGAAGAGGGGGAATGCTAAGAGGGAGAAGCCTGGAGGCCCACCCACTGACCTTCTTCAGCGCCCCCATGGTGCCCTGGGATGTCGTGAGAGAGGAGCCTTTATTGCTGGGGGGAAAGGAAGGGCCTTCTCAGGCAGAGAAGCAGGGTAGACGTAGATCCTGCATCCACATGACAGTCTGATCATTTTCAAAGCCAGCCAAGGGAGCTGAGCAGAGGGGGCCCTGTGCCGGAGTCCAGGGCCAGGGCAGGTGAGTTAGATACTACCTGAGGTTTCCTGGTCAAGAAACAGACAGAAAAAGGTACCCAGCAGATGGCAGAGAGCCCAGTTCGAGCACTGATGGCCCGCAGCGGTCAGGAGCTGTCGGGGTATTTGTGCGCTGGACGGTCTCCTGACTGCGAGCTATACCACCCAAGAGAGGGCTGCGCTTAGATGCCTGCTCAGGAGCCTGAATACATTCCGGGGCCACAGCAGGCCTCCTGCACAGCCATTCGCATTGTACTGGCCCTTCTCCGGGATCTCTCAACTCTGGACAAGAGCTAACTAGACCTGTATCCTCCCTTTGAGATATATGCAATTTCCCTATGGAAGTGGGCAGGGTATGGGAGAGGTGAGGGGAGGGTTTCTTCAGGAGCCCCTCCTCTTGGCCCTACATAGGCACAGGGTAACTCCTGGCCACGCTGTCTCTGGCACTGGCCCAGGCTCCCTCCCTGTGCAGATTTGGCCCCACCTGTCTCCCACTTTCCGCTCCAATCCTGGAACCCGGCTGAGCTCACTCTGCAGGCAGCTGGAGCCTGCACATTCCTTGTATGACCAGCTGGTTCAGACAGTCCATGCAAGATTGTCGCTGACCCATGCGAAACCAGGTTTTGTGTTGTTTTCAGGGGAAGGAGTAATAGAGTCCTGCATACTCCGTATCATTGGACACTAAAGCGCTTATATATTTTTTAATGTTAAACCGTGTATTTCTAGGATAAACCCAAATGTGTCATGAAATGTTAACATATATCATGTATATATAACTTTTATTGTTGAAATGAGATTACTAATATTATGATTTTTACATCTTTTTGTTAATAGTTGAGAATGTTCTATAATTCTTCTTTCTTACCCTACGACTTTTAAAAAAAAACCTTGATAACACCAGCCTTTAAAGTGAGTTGGGGAGTGTTCCCTCCTTTTTCCCTACACCAAGACCCAGAGGAAGAGAGAGACTGAGACTTGTCCAAGACCACGTGAGTTTTGTGGTCCAGATCAGGACTGAGGTCTCTTGACCGTGGGCCCAGGGACCCTCTAGAGCCCTCACTGCCATTCAGCCGCAGATCACATAACCCAGCTGCCCCCTCTGCACTGAGTGTCTGGATCAGGAAAGTCCTGAGTAGATGAGTGGGAAACAGATGTACAAATGGATGGACAGACAGGGGGATGGCGGGTGGATGGACGGAGGGTGGGTAGGTGGTCCAGTGGCAAATGCAGGCCATCCCATCCAGACAGCAGTCAGGCGGCTCCCTTGCTGGGATTGTGCCAAGGTCCTCAAGCTTGGGTGGGATGGAACTTTTGCTGTGTGTGGTGGCAGAAAAGGGTCCTGTCACCTGCCCTCCTGGCTACTGTTGAGATGCCCATCAGTCAAAGCTGGTGACCCAGGGAGACTTGGGCCTGTGTCACTGTGGAGATGATGTCACATGGCCTGGGGTCTGGCCCTCGAAGGCTCCCCAGAACCTGCCTCTTCTCTATCCCCAAGTTGGGGACACCCCTTCTGCTCCTTCCCTCGGGTTTTCATTTCTTGCTTCTCCCCTGGCATAACCCTTACTGAGCTTACTCACACTTTGGAAAAGAAAAAGCAAGAAAGACATCGTCAGGCAAATTCCATTTCTGCCCTGTGACCTGTGCCCTCCATCCAAGGGGACATACTGAAATTACTTCCTGGAACTGGTAAAAAGAAGTGATCTGGTAATAAAATATGAATGGCACCTCAAGAAGGTACCCTGCCTGCTGGCTGGCTTTTCTAATAAAGGCTTCCACTGTGGCCATCACATCAGGAGTTTGAAGTCCAGCATGGAAATCGACAAATGCTGCTATTGGAGGTATGTTAAATACTTACCAGCATAGCACTGGGCAGGAGCCGTAGATAACAGCAGAGATGGGAGGAGCCGGACCGAAATTCAGTCAGGATAAAGCCAAAGAGAGTCCCTCTCCTTTGTCAAGTTTATTTTATTAAAATATACAGAACTGAATATTGGTGGGCGCTGAGAACAGGAACCGCCCTCCCGGGCTGTGCCCGAGGGAGACACTTCTGCCATGCAGACCTGCGGCCAGCCCGCACACCAGCGTGGGAGACACCCCTCTCCTGGCTGGAATGAGCCACGCTGGCCGAGGCCAAGGGGCACAGGGGGACGGTGGTGACCCTCTCTTATGGCCTGGGCCTGAGAAGCAGAGCTACACCAGCTGGGGGGACTGGGCTGAAAGAAGTGGGGAGAAGATCCCTGAGCCCGGGAAAGCTGATGCCCTCCTGAAGGAGGAGAGAGGGAACCGCCCAGTCAGACTGGAAATGGGGCGTCAGTGCAACTCCAAGGGGAGGAACACGTGTGGGTGCCAAGGAGTCCCCATGGCCAAGCCAGACCAGTCTCCACGGCCTCCGCCATCCCACCCTTCCTCGCAGGGTCCTGCTCACCCTGGGGCCAGGCTGAGTGAGATGGGGTGGCAGCCGATGGAATGTACGTTTGAGAATGTTCCTTGGAAGGGCCTGTGCTGCCTGAGCAGGCGGGAGCAGTCATCTCTGTCTCCTGGAAGCCCCTGGGCGCTCAGGACTCACCGAACTCAGGCCCCTCAGCCCTCACTGCTGCTGTCTCTGGCCTCAGGTGGACATTGGCCACATCCCCAGAGCAGAACCCAGCCAAAGCGGAGTCCTGGGGTTTGTGCTTTTGAACATGGATGGGCCGGGCTCGGGGTAGGCTTTGAGCCTCTACTGCTCTGAGGCATAGAACTGACCCCAGGCTCCTTTCCCGGGCCACCTTTATCAGGGATACTGGGACCCAGCCTACCAGGAGGGCCTTGTCTGGGAAAAGAAGTGTCTAAAGCTTCCCTCATGGGCTCAACCTGAGCTGCTGGGGCCGCTTGTGCTTTTTGCATGGGGTTGGGGTGAGCCTGTGCGGAGGGGTGGCAACACTGCTTCAGGACCCTAACTGGAAGGGAGGATCAACCAGACTGCTGGGCAGACAGAGGCTGACAGACGGGGACAGAGAAGCCCTCCCTCGGCTCGCTTGCCACCCAGGCTCCTGGGCTGCCACTCACTGAGCCACACGATATCTTCTCGGGCCCTATAATGACCTTGGGGTGAACAGTTTAGAGCCTGAAGGGTGGGGGCAGCCCCATTACTGCCTCCCCACTGAGCCAGGCCTGGGCGAGTGGGGCAGGGCTTCTCCCAACTAGCTGAGTCAATAGACAGCCCCCCTCACATTCGCTACCAGGAAACCCAACCCTGAGCTTAAAGGGCCCCCTTCCTGGGACGGAGGGACAGCAGGGCCCTGTGGTGCCTCATCACTGGAGCAGAGCTCGCCCAGGAATCCTTTCCAGGAAGCAGCAGGCTCTGCCTCCACCACCACTTCTTTCCTCAACCACCAGCTGCCCCTCCAGGGACCTGTGGTAAGGGGCATTCTGGGAGAGTGGTCAGTGGGCTGGGAATGGCTGGGGGAACAAGGAGACCAGAGCCTGGGTGATGGGTGGTGGAAAAGAAGGGTGGCAGGAGGGAGAGGTGACCGGGCTCACACAGGAGAGGTTTTTGCTCTGGAACCCGGACCCTCCTCTGCAGGAGTTGAGCACTTTCCTGCTCACATCCGGCAGCCAATAGCCATGTACACTGCTCTCCCATCAGCCCACCCTTGAGGCAGCCTCACCCCACTGGCCTGGGACAGGACTGGCTGGGGGAGTGTGGCTCATGTCACCTGGACCCAGCTCCCAACCAGATGCAGTCCCTCCCTGACCTCGGTCCCCCTCTGACAGCCCAGAGGCATGGTGTGTGTTTGTGTGTGTCTGGAGCAAACTGTTCACTTTTTGCAAATATATTAGAAAAATGTTTCTCATGGAGGCTGTTCCTGGCAGGATTGAGGTGGTGGCAGTGGCCACTTGGCAATACCCCATGTGTCCTAGATGACGTTCTCAAACAGCTGCATGGAGCTCATGATGTTCTCGTCCTGTGTGGGGAGGGGATGAGAGGCCGGGTCGGGGCAGTGCCCATCTCTGGCCATCTTGAGCAGATTCTCCGCAGGGACCCGGAGTTTATTCCGCAGGGCCTGCTGTCTGTGTCCCTGGGCTACGGGGTGCTGAGCAGGCACAGGCTGTCTTTGGCCCTATGGCCTAAGTGCACACCGTCTGAGTTCGGCCAACTCACGGAAGGACACACCTCCCTGCCTGCTCACCCGGACGGAGGCCAAGGTCGCTCTGGGAGCGAGGCGAGTGGCAGAGGTCCAGTGCTCTGCCTCCCCGGCCCCAAGGGTGCTCTTCAGAGGAGGGTCAGCAAAGCTGGGGAGGCTCCAGGTGCCTGTTCCCCAGAGTGGCCCTGCCCAAGGGCCACAGTGCCTCATCACCCCCCTGTGGGCCCCACGTCTGCCCCCGCTAATGCAAAGCACACAAGGGAGGTACAGTGTGCCCAAGGAGGCTGTGGTTGGCGGGAGCGGGGATGGAGGAGATGGGTTCAGATGAAAGAGTAGCAGTGGGGCCTGGAGGTGGGGAGTGGCCTGAGGGCTGGCAGGGGAAGGACACTGAGTAGTCTCAACTCCCGAGGACACCTACCTTCTGACAGGTCTCCAGAAACTCATCAATGGTCACTACCCCGTCCTGATTCCGGTCCATTTTCTGCAACCCAAGCCAAGCCCTTGGTGAGTCTGTGCCTCACCAGGGACTGTCTCTGTCCCAGGCCTGAGGACATGGACCCTTGGGCCTCCTCTACCCCAACTTGTCCCCTCTGTCCCCTACACAGGATCCTGGCCACATACATTGCCCTTCTTGGCCCCTCCCACTCCAGCTGCTTCTGAAGCCTCTGGGATGACACTTCCCAGAATGCATCCTGATAGGCAACCAGGACAGACGGAGTGACTGAGGCGCAAGAGGGCCATGTGTCCCATGGACACAGAGGGAAGTCACCCTAACCCCACTCCTCTTCCAGACAGTTTCCCTGGAGGAGATGGGGGAGCTCTCAGAAGGTACCAGAACACTGGCCAAGATGTCAACTGCCTTGCAATCATGAGCCTCAGCTTGCCCTGAGTCAAGGTTCAGCCAATCCGGGAGTGGGGATGGTGTTTAAACATGCTCCCCTGATCCTGACAACCAGCAGAGTCAGGGATGTCCATTTAACCTCCTCGTGGGAGGGGGTGGCTCAGAGAGGGGAGTGGCTCGCCCAGGGTGCCCTGAGCAGGGGCCTCCGCCTCTTCCAGCTGCATTTCCCCACACATCCAGGCTGGAACACTCACCTGGAAGAACCTCTCCACATGCTCCAGAGGTGCGTCCTCCCGCAGGAGGGGATAGGTGTGCCGGCCCATCATGTCATAGATGGATTTCACGATGGCCAGCATTTCCTGGAGGGGGCAGAGGGGCTGGCATGAGTCCAGCTTCAAGAATGGGGAGGGGTGGGTGCAAGGGCCCGAGGGGAGGGGGCTGCATGCAAGAGCGGAGAGCCTTTCCAGGGCAGGTAGGAGTGAGACCTATCAGCTCTGCCCAGTGACAGCTTCTGACTTTCCAAAAGAAGTTGGAGATAGATCTTTGTCTCTAAAATTTGAAACTGTAGCAACTATTTCATATACAAAAAAATGTTTGGGCCAAAAGAACCCAACTGTGGCCCCATGTGGTGAGGGCCCCCCACATCTTAAGGGACGACACTGCCCCTTGATTGGTGGGAGCCAAAGCCAGCCCGATCCTAGGCTTCTCCACCTGTGCCCCCCGAGGCCCTCCTGTGGAAGGGATGGTCCTAGGACACGTGTTGAACCGAATCGAGCTGTGTGGTGAGGGGCACACAGCCTCACGCTCCCTGCACTCAGGGGTCCAGGACCGAGAGCTCCCTCGTGGCTGCCCCCAACCTGGGTTCTGGGTGAGGAGGGGAGGGCAGATGGGCCATGCCCCAGTCACCCCATACCTCTTTGGTGATATAGCCGTCCTTGTTAATGTCGTAGAGGTTGAAGGCCCACTTGAGCTTCTCCTGGACTGTTCCTCGCAGGAGGATGGAAAGGCCAACCACGAAGTCCTGGGAGCAAAGAAGGGTGAGGAGTGACAGTCGGATTTCAGATTCTATTTCCAGTTCACTGGGTGGCTTCCACTGAATTCACAGCTTAGAGATAAGGAGCTTCCATTACAGAGCACGCAGGTAGTGTCCATCAGGTTGACAATGATGCACACATGTGTGTATACATGAATCATGTGTGCATGTATGAGTCCATGTATGTGTGTGAATGAATGCATGTGTGCAAGCATGTGTGTGGCAAGAATGACACAGAGGCTGTTACTGATCCTCTCAAGTAAAGACATTCAAATGCATGGTGTCTCGGACCATAACGCACTGCTCTGATGGAGGAGCCCTGGGGGCGCTCTTTCATAAAGTGGCTACGCTACTTGTAGTTTACCGGTATCTGCATGTCAGCGTGCTCAAAAACTTCCAGCTTCAAAAGCTAAGCTACCAGAGCTCAATTCTGGGTCAGGACAAACCTCTGAGTGTGACGGATGATTGATTACTAATGTGACAAGACAGGAATGTTCCAACAGCTTCCACATGGAAATGCCAACTGTTTGTTATGTTGTAACAGCTGGTGGGACGCAAGTCTTTCCCTCCACTCCTGGAAGCTCGCAGGTCGAGCCTCCATGCCCCGTGGGTTCTGCAAGAAGGGGAGCAAAGGAGGCCTGTCCCAGAAAGGCAGAGGGTGGCAGGCTGCGAAGGGACAGGGCCATATATGATGGGGCTTAGTCCCCACTCAAATTTTATACTTTCTGGATCTGAGGAAGCCTGTATCACAAAAGAGAAAGCCCAAGGGAAACAGTGAAAAGCAATTTGGAAAAAACAAAAATTATTACAGGAGAAAAAAAAACTTAACAAAAACTATTAGATTTGGAGGCTGAAAATCTGGCATCCCTAAAATAAGAATAGGATGCTATAAAAAAGGAGTCATTGAGAACAAGAAGGAGCTCTTGGGAATTAAAAATAAGAACACAAAATGACAGACTTAGAAGAAGGGTTGGAGAAGCAAGTGGAATCTTCCATGACGTAGGGGGAAGGCAGAGCTGGAAATAGGAGAGGAATGACGAGAAAGAGAGGCCCACTCCACAGGCACCAGAGGAACGGAGTGCATGGGAAAGGCAGGTCAAGAAGTGAGGGGAGATTTCCCACACCTGCAAACAGCTCACCGTGTCACCTGTAGGCATATAGCCTGATGCCATTTCAGAAAACTAGCCGCAAAGAGAGGATCCTACAGGCTTCCAGGGAGAAAAACAAAACTAAAGAGGAAAACAGAATCAAGTCCCGTGCACAGGGTCAGGGATCAGCAGGCTTTGCCTTCTGATGGCAACACTGGGGCAGGAAGCCAGTGGCATGATGGCCACCATTCCAGAGGAGCACAGCTTCCCGCTGCGGTTCTGGCCCCACGCGACATGTCAAGCAGAGTGAGAACAGAATGGAGACTCTCCCAGACATTTTCCTAGGAAGCCACTGAAGATGTGCCCCTGAAAAAAGAGAGTAAAGCCAGAAAGAGGAAGGTGGCGGGATCTAGGAACCAGGAGACCCAATGCCGGAGAGAGGGGAAGAGATCCCCAGGTGGTGCTCAGTCCCAACGGAAGAGGGAGCCTGGAGGCTGGGGAGGGGTCCTCAGGGAGGTGCCCATTCAGATGACTGGAGAAGGGCCTGGGTTTGCATTAATGCTGAGGTCACAGACACCAGGCAAGTGACAACTCGGGACAGTTGTCAACAGCAGGCAAAGTAAGAATGTGTGCAGGAGAGGAGAGCACTGCCACAATTTACCGCAAGGCTTCCTGGGCTCAAACTCCTACAATCAGGGTAAACTGTGAGTCCTTGTCCAATCTGAATCCTGTACTTCTGTTGGAAGCTGGGCTTGAGAAAGTGTGTGCATGGGAGGCCCAAGTCCTCCCCGCCATGGCAGACGCCCACGGGCTGTGGCTAAGACCGGACAGTCAGGGAGGAGTAGAGGTGTGCCACTGGGAGACATGGAGACAAAGAGGGACAATCGGCGAAAACAGGAGATGGCTCCTCCCTAGGCGTGCGGGGTGTTAACTGCTGTTTCCCAAGGCACACCCTGTAACCTATGGGACGCCCGAAGTCCTGTGTGTGTTGAAGTGAAGAAAATAAAAGAATGCTCATATCAAAGAGAAACCACATTACGGTTCTTTGAGGCCCGAGTTGGGCATGAGGTCATCACTGAAGCCTGTTTGTGATTTACTTACTGGCAAAGACTCACAGCATCTCTGAATTCATGTCACTCCCTCTTCTCTGGGGTCTGACAGGCTTTCGCAGCAGGAGGCAAAGGTACAGAGTCCCACAAAGGACCCCCGTCTCATGTGGGCCATGGGAGGGCACTACTGTCCTCCCCTCTTGTCTTCACAGACCTGGGCCTGAAGTGTGGAAGCCCTCGTGGTCAACCACGACCAAGAAATGTCCCCATACGGTGTCCCTAAGAGTGTATGTAGTATCGTAGAGACAGTACCAGGACAGGGGAGGGTGGGAATGTGCCCTGTGAGGCCACTGGCCCAACCTCAATAACGCACAGATGGCCCCAAGTCCAGCAGCTTGCTGGTTCTAGACTGCCAGCCCCACACAGCACAGCTGCACGTGGGACTGTCGCTAGTTGTATGTGACTGCTTGCTCTTAAATCCGAGGTGTATGAAACCTATCGCATCCACAGTCCTGCTCTGTGTCTGTCCCTGAGGCACAGTCCAGGGAGGGTGAGGGGTTCCTACAAGTGACACCGTGATACAGAGAGGCCTCAGTTTCCTAACACCCCAGAGTGCCCACGAGGGGTGTCGGGCAGAGCACAGAGCAGGAGCTCAGCCAGGGGTGGGAGCAGAGGGTGTGACTGCAGGTTGCAGGCCTTCTCTCTGGTTGCTAAGGCACACCCTGTGTGTGCGGTCACGGGCGCCGGAAGCAGGTTACCGCATTGGGAGGTAAGGCAGAGGCAGCCACAGCCTCCTTGAGACACACACCGGTCATAACTCTTCAAAGGAGCAGCAGCCCTGGCATGATGAATGAGGCAAATTAGCAAGGCCCTGGGCTTCATCCGTGTGCAGCACTGTCTGTGCCCAGGCCGCGGAGGCCGGCCCCAGGCTTCCTCCTGTGGCACATGAGGACCCGGGGGGCGCAGAGCAGGCGGCAGGCTGAGGGAGAACGTGGGGCCATGGCTCCACGGGGCAATGCTAAGGTTTGCTGGTTTTGCCCGTCTATTTTCTGATAGTCTTTTCGGTGAGGGCAGGGAAGTTACAATATTTTCCCCTATCAGTCAATTTTAATGAATAGGGGTCTTGTCTCTTGAAAATATACAGAAGAACTGGGGTCACGACAAAAACCCGTAAACTGACCTGAATTTCCATTTTCAGAGCATGTGGAGTCTGAGGCCATGAGGGGGCCGAGTGTCACCCCAGCCTGTCAGGACCCTTCCCAGCCTGGGAGCAGCCAGGACGGTGCTCCGCTGGCTGGAAGGTCCCTGGAGAGATACATGCCTCCTACCCCTCATGAAAAAGCCTTCCTAGAGCAGACATCAAAATGAAGAGCAAGGTGCTCATGGTGAACAAACACCATGTGAAAACACGGGATTAACTCCCGTGCAGAGAAGCATGTGGGAGGCCCAGGATGAAACCAGAGGGAATAACCTTCTGAGAAGGTGCCGGACAGATGGGATTCAGCCCCAGAGCTCCCCACTCAGCCGCTGACAGCAGCCCCCCAAAGACCCACCACCTACCACCTTAAAGGGACTGCAAGACCCCCTGCTTGGGGGACTGAGAGTGATGACCACAGGAGGGCACCCTAGACCTTCCTAACGCCCCCTCGGACACACTGGGGCCCCTGCTGAGCAGCTTGATCCTCTGATTTCAGAACAGGAGTAACTCCCCACAGTGCCCTGGCGGACTGTCAGACTGGAGACCTTCCCACACTTCACTCCCAGACGTCTCAGGTACCTCCTGAAGGATCCGAAGACACTGGTTGGGGGCAGGGGATGGGGTGCCAGGGGAACAATGAGTTTCCTCTGTACTGATTGGATTTCTACTGTGTGCAGGTATCACTGAGAATAAAGGAGATGAAAACACTGCGTTCACACACATACACAAGTCCTTAGGGTGCGGCCGGAGAAGCTGGGGCAGTGGTCGCCCGGGCGGTGCGTCTGCACCGCTGGGAGGGCTGGCACGTGAAGAGGAATGCAGCAGTGTTAGGACAAGTTATGAGAGTTGGTATCATCCCCCTGGCTGGCCCTGTGGCTTTCCTGTCACCGCCCTTGGGCTGAGTGGTTATCGATCACGCCTGGTTCTCAGCATGGTTTTCTTCCCCAAAGAGGTTTCAGTTTTTCACCTGCAGCTATTTTTAGGGGCCTGGGCTCCACGGAGATGCCTCCTTCAAATGATCCTGTGGGCTGGCCTGTGTGGGGCCTATGGCTGCCCACACAGAGCCAGACGAGGCCCTAGTGGGGGACACCAGACTCTGTCTGGCTGGGATGGCAGGAGTCTGCTCAGGCCAGGCACTCTGTCTGTTTTCTGGCAAAGAGAGTGAATTCTTTGGCTGGGGGCCTGGAACCCCACTGTTAGCACACCTCTCTGAGTGCAGCCTTGCCCCCTTTTCAGATGCAAATTCACCCTGGGTCACTACCACCTCAGGCTGCCTCAGTAGCTCTCTGGGTTCAGTGGGGCTGGATTGGAAGGCAAGTCTGGGTCTAGGGTGGCCAGACAGTAAAACAAATTCCACTGACTTCACAGTGAGGCCTGGGGCTAGTCAGATACAGTCTACCCGTTCCCTGGGGGACACACTGGAGCATGTACAACAGGATCATGCCTGCCCCTCTCGACAGCCCGAGGGTGTGGCACCAGAGCAGAGGGACACCCTGCAAGCTGCGGGGGATGTGGGAGGGTACAACAGAGACCTACCTCAAAGCAGATGGCCCCATTCCCGTCAGCATCGAAGGCATTGAAGAGGAAGTGCGCGTAGGTGGAGGCATCTGGGGGAGCAAGGGCACTGGCTGGGGTGTGTTGGGGCCTCCTGGCAGCCAAGCCCCCACCCCAGGTAGCCCCACTGGGGGCCCACCTGTGTCCTGAGCTGGGGTTCCCCTTCCAATGGGATAGAGGCAGCACCAGGCCTCCAGAAAGCAAGTGGCGGAGGGAGCAAGAGGTGGAGGTGAGGGTCCCCTTCCCATAAAGGGACACCCACCCTCTGCAGAACTGCCACAGGGACAAAGTGGGGGCTTCAGGAGGAGAGGGGAGGAGGGCACGGGGGCTGGCCTCAGACTCACCTCCCTGAGGGAAGAACTGTGCGTAAATGAGTTTGAAGGTGTCTTCATCCACCAGGCCCGAGGGACACTCCTGCAGCAGGAAGTCACCCCCTCAGCCGCCTTAGCCACCCCAGCCCTGCGCCGACTCTGCCCTCTGAGGGACGCCTGCCGTCCCGGGCACTGCTAGGCTCCATCGAGCCCCCAGGAAAGCCTGGTGGTTGGGTGGAGCAAGGCAGGAGGGCTGGGTGGGGGCCCCCAGGCCAATCTGGTCCCTCCGTACACCCCTCCCCTGTGCCAGCACAGAGACACACAGATAGGGCACGGGGCCTTCGGAACACTGCTTCTGGGCTTGGCCCGCACACTCCCCAGACAGGTCTCCCACAAAATATGAGCCTCATCAAGGCGCCGGGATATCTGCTATGCCACAAAAGTTACTAGAAAGTCTGCCTGGGCCAGAATCTTCCATTCTGGAGCCAGTGACAAAAGGGCTGGGTGTGTCAAGGCCTCTCCTGAGGGATGGGTATCACTCACGTTCTTGAAGCCCCTATAGAGGGACTGCAGCTCCTTCTTGGTGAACTTGGTCTGTGCCTGCAGCTGCTCCAGCCCCTCTGGCTGGTGGCGCACCATGGACAGCTCCAGCTCACTGTCGCTGCTATCTGGAGGGGGACACAGACCCAGGAGGGTGGAACATATAGCCCCCCTTCTCCATCTCACCGCAGGGTGGGTGACAGGCCATGGGCTGATGTCAGGGGCAGAGGGACTCTCCTTGCATGACTACTGTGTATGGCCACACAGGCTGCACACCGCACACATGGAGGGGCTCTGGTGGAGCAGCACGCTCGGGCCACTCTGCCTCCCTTCTCCTCAAACAGAGGGCCCTCCCCACTCATCTCACCTGCAGCATGCCCACCTTGTCAGCCACACAGTGGGACAGAGGCTGGGAGCTGGCCCTGTCCTTGAGAAACACTGAACAAGTGGAAATGGAAGGGATAAAGTCAGCAAGACAGGCTCAAAGGACCCTCAACCTTCAAGACCCAGTTCATGGCCACCCTCCGTGCAGTCCTCCCTGACTTCCGCCAGGAATGGGGAGGTGAGCCTCTGGGCCCATTCAGCCTAACACACTCCTGCTTGGCTGCATTTGGTGGGGTGTGTTACTCACATTTGGATAGGCGGTCAGAGCTCAAAGGCCCACTGGGCAGGGACCAGCCCTTTTCTTTAATAATAAGATATCCAAATGTTAACAAACTGCAGCTGCCTCTGGGGTGAGGCGAGTTGCATTTCAGGTGATCTTAAATTTTATTTATCTTTTTTTTTTTTTTACCTTTTCCTAAATTTTTTTTGGTGTGTCATGCATCACTTTTTAAAACAAAATAGAGCTATAGACCGAGAAGTGCTGAAACCCACACTTGCCGAGCAGCCTGATCACATAATTATAGACCTTCCCACTCTACTGCCACCACCCCACCTCCCTAGGCACCTCACAAAACAATGAGTCCATGGTGATCTGTAGCCCCTCTGTACTGCCCACCCTGTGCCTGTGACGACGGCGGGCACGGGCACTGCTAGCCTGAGCCTGCAGAGCCCTTTGCTGGGCCTGCTCCATGCCCGGCCTCTCCCAGAACTCTCACTAAACCAAGAGCAGCCTGCAAACTGCACAGCAAGTGGGCTCTACTGCCTTGGGCATGCATGCTCCCAATCGCCAAGATAGCTATTTCATACCTTCCTCTTTTGAAACTGCCAGTACCTCGTCCCCCATCCTGTCCCTCAGGCTGCTTCCTACATCACCAAGAATATAGAAGCCACAGAAAATTTCCCCAAGTTCCTGCTGCCACACCTACCCATCTACTGCACCTGTCCCAGACCTCTGCTTTTCCTCCTTCTTCGAAGATGAACTGTTCCTGGTCCTGGCTAACTCTTGCACTTGCTCAGTGGGTACTGGCCCCTCTCACCTACTCAAGCATGAGGATCCAGAAATTCTCCCTACTCTTTCCTCTCTCCTCATTATCTTTCTTTCCTCCCTTTAGGATTATCCCATCACCATATGGACACCTGGCAATTTTCAGTCAGTTTGGTATAGGTAAACCTTGCAAGGCAGCATTTCCACTCTGCACTCTAAGGTCCCAAATAAAATCTTACCCAGCTGAGGGGACCTGTAGGTGGATGCTCTTGGCAACAGTATTTTTTATGGGGATCTGGAAGCATCCCGGGGGCCCATCAAAGGCAAGACAGAGAAGCACAATATGGGAGTTGCTCACCAGGGAGAACTGTGCAGTGAATTCGAGGTACACATCAATACACAGACCCAAGAAACTCAGTAAACCCCAAGAAAGAAAAATAAAAAGACAAACACATGCAGGAAGAGCATGGTCAAACTGATGAAAACCAATGATAAGGAGGCAATCTTAAAAAGAGCTAGTGTGGAGGGGGAGGCCCTACAAGAGAAGAGCAGTAAGAAAAAAGGCTAACTTCTCACATGACATTTTGTAGACCAGGAGACAATGGAACAACACTTTAAATTGGTGAAGGAAAAAGTCTGTTAACCTAGAGTTTTATATCCAGTGTTATTATCCTTCAAAAAAAGAGGGTGAAATAAAGGCATTTTCAGATTAATGAATGCTAGGGAATTTGTTGCCAGCTGAATCACACTACAAGAAATGCTACAGGATGTACTTCAGGATGAAGAGAAATGATATCTATCAAATAGAAATCAAGAAGGAAAATAAGAGGTTTTTAAAAAGATTTTATTTATTTATTTTTAAACAGAGGGAAGACAGAGAAAGAATGGGAGAGAAATATCAATGTGGGAGATATACATTGATCGATTGCCTCTTGCACGCCCCCAACTGGGGACCTGGCCCACAAACTAGGCGTATGCCCTGACCCGGAACTGAACCAGTGGCCCTTTGGTTCACAGGCCAGCACTCAATCACTGAGCCACACCAGCCAGGGCAGGAATGAAAATGATGCTGACACCGGAAATCAGTGTGGCAGTTTCTCATACACATACACTTGTCATATGACCCAGAAATCCCACTCCTAGTTATTTACCCAAATGAAATGAAACTTATTATATTAACACAAAAACTTATGCAAATATTTAGAGCAACTTAATTCACAATCGCCAAAAGCTGGAGATAACCTAAACATCTTTTGACTGATGAATGGATTACCAAACTGTGCCAAATCCACACAGTGGAATATTAACTTGGCAATGAACATGAACAACCTACTGAGAGCCACAGCAAGAGGGATGAATCTCAAATGCACTGGTTAGGTAAAGAATCAGACTCAAGAGGCTATGTAATGTAAGATGACAATTATACAACATTTTGGAAAATATGAAATTAAGGAAATCATAGGGAAAGAAAATATATCAGGGGCTGGGACGAGGGATGGGCATACTACAAGATGAGGGAAATTTCTGTGGTGATGGAGTTGTTCTCTATCTTGATGATGGTGATGGTTACATGATGACTATGTATCTCTCAAAATTCACAGAACTGGGAGATACTAGACACATGCATGCACAGAGGAAAACCACATGAGGACACAGGGAGAAGGCACCATCTGCAAGCCAGGGGAAGAGGTCTCAGGAGGAACCAAACCTGCTGACAACTCGACCTCAGATCTCTGGCCTCCAGATTTATGAGAAAATGAACTTGTGTTGTTTAAAAAACAAACAAACATAGGACTTGGCACCAAAAAAGGCAAATGGCACTATGTGTAAATTATAAAAAATCAAAATTAAATTAAAATTAGAATAACAGCTATAGGGGAGGAGGAAATAGAGGAATACAAGGGAAAAGGAAAAATAAAACAAGAGAGGGGTTGTAATGAATCAAGACTGATACTGTCCCAGGAACTAAAGAGTATGAGTAACCTAATCCTCTGCCTCAAAGGCCAAAAATAAAAATAAAACAAAAACTTCAAATACACACACACACACACACACACACACACACACAGTGCTATTTCTTCCATTACAAAAGTAAAAGTGGGAAAACAAAACTCCCTTGGTCCTACTTTCCCCTCAAGCTACTGTCTTCCTCTCTCCTTTACCTCACTGTCTTCACTTCCTCTCCTATCATCTCTTGAATGCGCTCCTTGGGGCATTTGCCCACTGCTCCATACAAACTGCTATTCCAAGTGTCACCAGTGATCTCCATATTGCTAATCCAGTGATGGACACAGTCATCTTGATTCATAAGTCATATATGAGCAGTATAAGAATAAAAATTATAGTGTTGACATGGATGAACCTTAAGGACTTTATGGTACATGAAATAAATCAGACAGGGAAAAACACATAGTGTATGATCTCACGTATATGTGGAATCAAAAAAAAGCCAAACGCATAGAAACCGAGTACAAAGGTAGCTGCCAGGGGTTGGAGGTGGGGGAAATGGGGAGATGTTGGTCAAAGGTACAACATTTCAGTTATAAGATGAGTGAGGTCTGGTGATCTAATGTACAGCACGGTGAGTGTGGCTAACAATGCTGTATTACATACTTGCAGTTCGTTAAGAGTGTAGATCTTAAATGTTCTTACCACCAGCACAACAAAAAACAGTATTGATGTGAGATGATGAAAATGTTAACTAATTTTGTTGTGGTCATCATTTCACAATATCAAATCATCATGTTGTACACTTTAAATTTACACAATGTTATATGTCAATTATATCTCAATAAAGCTGGAAAAAACAAAAATGATATGCTCATTTCGCTTTTGAGCACAGATGAAACCAAATGTTAGCTAACTGAATCCAACTATATTTTTTTAAAGACTGAATTTACTTATTTTTAAAGAGAGGAGAAGGGAGGGGGGGAAAAAGGGAGAGAAACATCGATGTGACTGAAAAACATCCATCAGTCAGCTGCCTCTCCTAAGCACCCCTACCAAGGGCTGAACCCACAACCTGGGCTTGTGCCCTTACTGGGAACTGAGCCTGTGACCTTTTGCTTTGTGGGCCGATGCCCAACCAACTTAGCCATACCCGGCTGGGGCTCCAACAGTATTTTTCAAAAGTAAAAGTACACCATGATCAAGAAGACTTTATCTGTAAGAGAATAAGGAGGGAAAACCATTGGAAATCCTAATGCAAAAGGCATTGATAAACACCCACATCTATTTATAATTAAAACAAACAACAACTCTTAGCAAACTAGAAATTCAAGGGGACTGTCTTACCTAAATGCAGCTTACATTTGCAAATCACATATTTATAGAAAATTTTAGATTTAATGGCAAAGACACACTCTCTTTAAGATTTGGGCCACAATGACAAGGTTGACCTCAGTTACCACTAACTGATGTCCTGCCAATGCTCTATAAAAATTCCAAAAAGGAAATAAATGATGTGATAGTTGGGAAATAAAGTATAAAACTAACTATTTATAGATAACAAGGTCTCCAGGGACCAAAAGAATACATGAGAGTTTGGTAAGGTTGTCAGATACAAGATTAATTTATGAAAACCAATAGTAATTTTCTACACTAGTAATAACAACCTAGAAAATATAATAAAAAGATACCATTCATAATAGCAATAAAAACTAAAAAGTATCTAAGCATTAACCAAAACTGAAAGGACCTCTATATAGACAGGTAATCTGAATAAATGAGACATTCCAATTTAGACAGGACCATATAATA